TTGCCTATCGCTATGATTTGGACCGGGATATAAAAATTGTTTAATTATGTTCTTTAGACAAGAAAGAGAGAGAGGGAAGTTAACTGTACGTTTCACAAACACGAGTTACCTTTGTCGCCAAGAAAAATAGAAATTTGGTGATTTTAAAAATTAATGCTACTTTGAATTCTGTTTTAGAGCGTTTTGTGTTTTCTTTATCACTGCCATTGTCTTAATATGGTAAGCTTCTATTATGGGGGAATTAATTATTAGTTTCTTTTTGTTGCTCATTAAAGCATGGAAATATACTGAAAACTTTGAAAAGCATTCTGACGCAAATTATAGGGTGTTTCGAAACACAAAATGGATATTTGAGGATTCTTTATTGCGACAAGTTTTAGTGTTTTAAAGAAGAAAGGGACACGTTCAAACGGTTATTGCGAGAATGATGAGGTACAGGGAACATTTACAAAGTTTTATTATGGAATTAAACTTTCTTGACTCGGAAAGAAATTTGAAAACTGAACGGTGTCGTGCTAGCTTGATCAAGGCAGTCTGAATGGATGGAAAAGTTCTGGGAAAAATTATCGTTGATTCTTGTGTAGAATGTAACATACTTTGCCTACAGCTATGCTTTGCATTTGTACTGCATTGTATATCTGAGAATCACTTAATGGGTGGCTGTGAAGGAGGCAATTACGTCATGGTATCAACTGAGAAGAATTACTTTTGAATAGTACAGTGATGATGAATAAAAATATCTCAAATAGGTTAAACTAACCAGGGAGAAACAAATTGGGAGTATCGAAAGTATACAAAAATGCAAATGACTAATTCGAAAACGTCAAAGTAAATTTTTCAAGATGGAAATCCATCACTCAGTTGACCTTTAATTTCATTATGGTTAGGAAGACTTCCTGTCGCCAATACGATTTTAATATATGCAATACTTTAGCAGTTTCTTTTGGTTTCTTTTTTCGAAGTTTTTGCTTGACTAGTTCTCAATAAGCATGACCTTGTCACTGTTCAGTGAATTTAAGGGTCTGATGATAACCAGTTTTTCCCTCAGCTGTTCCTATTATTTATGACGATTGTTTGTATCATAACTTCAGCTTCGTGGGGTGCCAAGGATAAATTATGTATCAGAACTTGTAAACAACCTAGCTCGGAAAGTAATTGATTTTGAACTGACACCGTTCACCGATCTAGATAATGAGTAACGTGTCGTAATCTCAGGCGGGTGAGGAATCAGGCAAACTCTCCGACGTGTAGGCCATTAAGAATAAAACCAAAATCATTCCTCTGTGTCTTCCCCTTTGTATTGTCAAGTTTGTACACGGTAACTTGGTGAATGTATGATCAGGTGTTAAACATCGAAATTTGGGTCATTTTGTATTTTACAACAGGCTCTGTTTTATCCAGAAATCTTCTCCTCTGTGATATGCAATTACTTTAAAGTTTTTTTTTTCTTTCTGAGATGGCTCTTCCTTTCCGAAGTTCATTCAAAATTAAGATAAACCATTCCACAATTCAAACATGGCGATACTCGTGTTATCCTTAAGTCTTTGACGTTTCGGCAAGAAACCGTGGGCTGTTTATATAACATTGCTTGTTTGGATTAAGACTCTAAAACGCACCTACTCTTTTAACGTGTCTCGGGTGTCTAACCGGTTTTCTTATTTTTTCCTGAAGAGTTTTTTTTAAAACCATCTTGTAGGTGGAGGGCAGGTGAGGAACTGAACTGATACTATATTTTCGCACGGAAATGGTGTTCATCTCCAAATGTTTAGACAGCATGCATCCGTGTTTTAGTTGTAACTAATAACGTGTCAAGATAAAGTGGCTCTGATTATGCATGAAAATTAGTTTCCACCAGGAGGTCTTTCAAAGTTCAATTTCAAATTGTCCTTGTTTGGAAACTAGTTGCAAGTCTGCTTTACGACAATTGGATCCGTTGAGGCCGCCTACTGATATTTTTTAATTGAGTTCCCTTCTAGCTAAATAGTATCACGAGAACACCGGTCACATCTTTTTTTAACACGGTGCGAAAGCCGACCGAAGTCGGTTAATTTGTGTGATGCAAATTTTAAAAGTACTGACTAGTGAATGACGGCGTTCGAATTGAAACGAGTATTTCTATTCCAGAGTGTGCATCAACTCGCTGGAATGATGCTTCCAGTTATCCAGGGAACACATTTGCTTCTTGCCAGCTTCTTTCTGATGATTGCCACTGTTTTTCCCTTCCAAGCAGGAGGCTCTTCAAAAGACATCATCGGTAAGTTTTATCCCTTGATTGTAAAAAAATCCAGGCGGAAGCTGGTAAAAATTATCTGTTCTGTTCAATTAGCAACCAAAAAAGCGTGAAAGCTTCTATGTAATCTACGAGCAGAATTATTACCGTCTTGAGAAACTGCTCTTCTTTTGTTTTCCGTCTATAACCTATTTTTCGGTGATACAGAGAATCGAAGTGTAAGGTGAAATATGTACGTACAAAGGCTTCTGGGATAGAATAAAAGATGGCGTTCTTTGCAGAACACGTGTAGTAGTTTGATTCACAAACAACACAACATGGTGGCAGCAGTGGGATCTTTCCAATCAGGTTTAAACTGAAGGAAAATTAGAAAAAACGGAAATATGGGAGACCCTGTCCCAGGCGAAGCTGGAAATCAAGCTGTTCAACAGCCCGTAGTTGATGAGCCGAACGAAGATGTCGTTTACCCAGCACGGCTTGCACAACAACAAGCCGTCATGCTTGCACAGCCTACGGTCCAACAGATCGCTGAGGCAAATTATCCAGTTCCACCGTCGGAAAAATTTAGTTTTAAACCCGACGAGTGTTTCGAACGATTTTGAAAGGCGAATGGCCTCGACCAAAAGGACGGTGAAAGCCAAGTAAACACTTTAATTTACTCGATGGGAGAAGAAGCTGATGACATTATTGGCTCATATGGAGTAACCGCCGAGTAAGCAAAGTTGTATGATGTCGTGAAAAGCAAGTTTGAAGCTCATTTTGTTGTTAAGAGAAAAGTAATATTTGAAAGAGCCAAATTTAACTCGAGAAGTCAACAGGATAGTGAGTCTGTGATTAACTTCATAACAGATTTATATTGTCTACTTGAATAATGTGAATTTGGAACATTTAGAGACGATCTAATCCGGCACAAAATCGTTGTAAGTTTAAAAGACAAAAAGCTCTCTGAACAGCTGCAACTTGATCCCAAACTGACTTTAGAGAAGGCAGTTATTAAGGCTAGGCAGTCTGAGACAGTGAAGAAACAACAAACTTTCCTACAGGAAAACAAGTCTGAACAACCACCAGTTAACCGCTTTTCTAACGGAGCGGGAAAAGATGCTAAAACTAAACCAAAAGATCCAAAGAAGCCCCCTAAGCCTAGCAAAGGGACAGAGAAGAATCCTGAAACACAGTGTTCAAGGTGCCTGAGTCCACCACACCCAAAGAGACGATGTCCAGCCAGAGAATCTAAATGTATCAAGTTCTCCAAAGTAGGACATTGGGCAAAGGCTGGCAAATCTCGATCTGACAAGAGAGTAAATGAAGTCCCCTTACCATTGTATCAGAAGACAAAAGAAGAATCGGATAGAATGTTGGAATCAAGCGTCATATCCAACGTTGACGAGCCCACGGATTGATGTGCTCCCATGGTGGTTGCCCCAAAAAGCAATGGCAAAGTCAGGGTCTGCGTGGACCTTAGCAAGCTGAACGAGTACGTCAAAAGAGAGGACGACCCACTTCCAGCAGTAGACACAACTCTGGGAAGATTGGTAGGTTGCAAAGTCTTCTCAAAACTTGATGCAAACCCAGAATTTTGGCAGATAAAGCTTGCATGGGAATCAAGACAGCCGACAACATTCATCACTTCATGGGGCCGATTCTCCTTCAATGTTCTACCCTCTGGTATCAACTCTGGTTCTGAGAAATTCCAGAAGAACACGAATCAGATTCTTCAGGGATTAGAGGGCGTAGAGTGCAACATAAGTGACGTTTTAGTTCACGGAAGAAACCGAGAGGAACATGAAGAAAGACTTGAAACACTAATTAAGCGTCTGGTCGAGGCCGGCGTGACACTCAACCTTAACAAGTGCAAGTTTAGCACAGACAAAATTAAGTTCCTCGGACACGTCATTAGCTCTCGCGGAATTGAGGTGGATCCTAACAAGTTGCATGCAGTCGCAGCTCTCCCGCCACCTCAAAACGTGCAAGAAGTGATAACATTTCTGGCCATGGTCCTGAAAGGACGGGGAACTCCTTTGCAAGGGAATCAGTGAAAATGAGGAACTGAGCAAGAGAAAGCGTTTAAGTATATCAAAGCTGACCCCACACGAGTTCCATTACTGGAGCTTTATGATCCTGACAAGGACACCAAGATAGCAGCTGATGCCTTATCCTATGGTCTAGGCGGAGTAGTTCTTCAACTCTGATAACTCCTGTCAACCAGTTTCCTTCATGTCGAGAGCGATGACTCCCACCGAGACTAGATATACGCGGATAGAAAAGGAGGGGAGTACATCAATCTCTGTGGACACTGACCATAAACTCCTCGTTCCACCTCTGAGAACACACACACTGGATCAACTCCCACCGAGGACCCAGTGATTCAGAATGCGACTGATGGGATTCCACTTTCAAGAGATCAAGCACGTTTCTGGGAAGAAGATGTACATAGCCGATGCACTTTCAAGGTTTCAGGCCAGAAACAAAACAGCTCAGTCTGCAATTGATGACGATGAAATTTACGCACACATAGAAAGTGTGTTCTCATCGCTGCCTGCCTCAGATACGAGACTATTGCAGATAAAGGAAGCACAGGAAGAGGATCCTGTTAGCAGACAGATCAAAACTAATTCTCCTCAGGGATGGCTTGACAAACACTCGCTAAACGATGTCATAAAACCGTATTGGTCGAGCAGAGGTGAATTGTTTGTCGTGCAGGGCATTCCACTCAAAGCATCCAGGATCCTTATCCCATCCTCCATGCGTCTTGAGATCTTGGAAAAGATCCATGAGGGACATCACAGGAATCACCAAATGCCGCGAGCGAGCCAAAAACTCTGTTTGGTGGCCAGGACTCAGTGAAGAAATCCAGGATCTGGTTCAACAATATAGGGTCTGCGCTTTGCATAAGGAAAAGAATCCCGAACCGCTTATAGCAACACCCTTACCAGACCGCCTCCGTCAAGCCGTAGCCACAGACCTCTTCGAGCTGAAAGGTATTGACTTCTTGATTGTAACAGACTACTTCTCAAAGTACATAGAAGTAGCAGCCATGAAGAAGACGACAATGTCAAGTGAAGTTATAAGAGCACTTAAGTCGATATTTGCCAGACATGGCATCCCCGAACAAGTGCGATCCGACAATGGTCCTCAATTTTACAGTACAGAATTCTCATACTTTGCAAAAAGTGGGGATCCGAGCGTATTACCAGTAGTCCGAGATTTCAAACGAAGACATTGATCGTGGAGTTAGAACCATGAAAAATCTGTTCTCGAGAGAAAGAGACCCAGGTAAAGGATTACTGGCCTACAGATCAACGCCACTTGCATGCAAGTTCTCTCCTGCCCAGTTGCTGATGGGAAGGGAGATAAGGAACAGTGTTCCAGTGTTCCATACTTCCAGCTTAACCTGCAGTGGCCTGATCCGGAAAAGCTACGTGAAAGAGAGAGCATGAGCAAGCATAAGTAGCAAACAGTGTTAAATAGCAGGCACAAGGCAATACTTTTACCTCCGATTGGACCAGGTACGATAGTCTTTGTGAAGGACCTTCAGCGTTCAGAAAAAGTAATCGAAGCAGCAGCAACAATCTGGTCATATGAAGTTGAGACACCAACCAGCACGATTAGAAGAAACCGCGTTCACCTAACCCCACTGCCAGATCAGCGGGAAAATCAACAACTAGAAACAAGTTCCAGCAGAGAGCCAAGCTGCAACACCTATTCGGAAGGACGTGTTTCTAAAAGAGACTTTCGAGTACCCCTGTAACACCTAATACTGCTACTAGGCCTAAGCGAGTTATAAGAACATCGCTCAAAGTCGGAGAAAATCTAGGTTTAGCATTATAAGACACTGTGTTAAGAGATCTGATTTAGGCTGTGTCCACGACTTATCAGGCTTTGTGATATTGTGTTAGCTTACATGAAATATGTACGTACAGAGGATTCTGGGATAGAATAAAAGATGGCGTTCTCTGCAGAACACGTGTAGTAGTTTGACCCACAAACAACACAACATAAGGGACTGTCAAACAATTATTATGTACGTCATAAAGGAGGAAATAAAAGATACGATAGTACTAGAAGTCTTTAGCTGTTTAAGAAATTATTTGTCATGGGGGATTTCACTGAATTTTGTTCTTTCCTTACAGACCAGTTAAATTTGTTCGCTACGATTTGTCACAGAAATATTGTAATGAAAATATTTAAAGGGTTGTGAATGTACTTTTTATGAGGAATTTAAACCTCAACGCTCTAATATTATAAACAAAAGTAATTTTCTGAGTTTGTTTTGTCTATCACTGCACTCACCAACGTAATGTATGGAATTTATTTTGTTTAACGCCCTCGAGGCAATGTTAGTTTTAGGTATTAACCGGTTTTATATCGCATCGTGAGTCGATATGTAATTGCGTGAATTTGAAATCTGAATGACACATCTCGAATGTAAATTATTGAAAATTATCCTGGTGTTAACAATTCAATGAACGGTTGGAAGTCTACCATAATTTTTCCAGTGACGAGGTCTTCAACATTTCGAGAGATTTGAATTATTTTGAAGGATTCTCTTTTCGACTATAATTCCAAAGAGACTAGCTTTGGTAGTTTACCGCGAGGTGGGCCAACCGCGCAGTCAATCAGTTTCGTATTGTATATTCTCGACCGCGGTGCCGTATATTTGCTTTACAAGTAAACATTATATATCATGTGTCTCTTTTAGTTTTGTTATTTTTCTGTCTTGCCTAACTGATATCTCACGATGATAGATCCACAGTTCAGATACTACACATAGCTAAAAATCTTTCACAGGTGGCAAGACCAGAAACGGTTACAAATTATCCTGTAAAATTTATTTACAACTGGTGTATCGTGCTAATTTGCGCCTTCACGATTAGCAGCCAAGACCAATTCAAAGTTGTGAGAATATTTTGGATCTTCGATGACGTTGGAGGCCTGGGGGCAATTCTCCATGGAACCTAACGTTCCACAAATTTATTTACAACTGGTAATACTGAAGCCATCGCTTATTTTATAAGGAAACTCAGTTTTAGGCTATATTGGTATTTTTTAAATTAAGGTAAAGGTTCAAACAGGTTTCCCTCAGCAATCAATAGGGTTATGTTATTTTGGTATTATCCTTCACCAGGGAACTGCACCTTTGATGAGAGAACATTCTGCAGCTGGTCCAATGAAAGATACACCGACCATTTCGATTGGGTACTTGGACAAGGAAGTTCTCCAAGTAGTGACACTGGACCAATCACTGACTACGCAGGTACATTAGATGTTTCATTTTTCTACGCAATGTACCCTTTGAAATAAGGTACCGTCTGGAAACTTTATATCCTGATAAAGTAAAGACCTTACATGTATCTTAATGATTCGCAGAGTTAACTGACGAAATTATGCCATTTTCATATGAAAAGATGGACTGTATACGCAGTACGATTGGGTCTTACTCATGATCTATTGGAGGACAGACGATGATGTCATCATTAACAGCGTTTAACTTTTTCTATCAAACGAAACAAATAGATTCCATGTTGCCGAGCGTCTGTCTACCAATAGATAGATCCCAGAAGACATCAAAATATGGCGGGAACAACAGTGACGCACTTATCTGCACTTCGGGTGCAGATATTTTTGTTACACAGAATATTCACACGGTTTTAAGGTTTTCCACGTGTATTCTTCACTGATGAAACATAGCATTACACCCTTTTTTTATACGCATGGCCCGACTTACACGCATATAATATTTTTGCTTACGTCATATGACGTCTATCAGGATATACAGTCCTCTGCCGTGAGAACACTTGACTATTAACATAAATTCCCTTCGGAAACAAGGGAATATCACTACTTAACATTTCAACCACATTTTGACGTGTTCTATTATTGAGCGTATATCTGTTAAATTGATAAGGGATGTATTTTACGCTTCCTCAGAAAATGGCTCGTATATCTACATTCAAACGTTATCTCCTCGAAAGTACGACGAGAAGGCCAGATTGAAAAGCCCGTGGTTGAGGGGTCCACTGCGGATAACATTTTTTTACTCCATGTACGGCAGCACCATTGAGACTCTCTCTGTATATGTCATAATCAATGGTAGTGAATCCAGGATATGGAGTCGTCATGGGAACCGATCATCACGCGATTGGATCAAAGGCTGCGTGGCTATAAGCTACGAAGGGACTTATCAGGTAGTCCAATAAGGTTTTTCCTTGGGGAAAACATTAACGATGCGATTTTGGGAAAATGGACCGAGTGCTTTTTATTCTTCATCGGAGAAGACCAAAGGTTTTCCAGTCAAATGCGTGTACAATTTAAGTTGCATAAGGATCTATAATTCATGACTGGACCCTAACCATGTCGTCTTATCTGCTCACAGGTAGTAATAGAGGGCATTGCAGGTGTGACTTCTGCATCAAGTATTGCAGTTGATGAACTCATTTTCAGTGAGAACCTAACTTGCGTTTCAGATGGTGACACTACTCCATCTGAACTCTTTAAAGGTAATGCTGCCCTTGTGCTGCTAAACAAGAAGCAGTTTGGCTTGAACTGTATTAATTAGGATTCTTTTCACTTGCATCGAGAATACTCGTGTCGCTTCTTAATGAGTCAGACTGATTTCTCAAGGCAAAATTTCAGGGAAGAAAACGTTCCCTTCACCTATAACCTCATAATAAAATGAAAACCCTTGCTTCTCTGAAAGCGGTAAACGTAAGTTGTTCTTAACAACAACTGAAGTAAATACGATGTAAATTAATCTAGCAATTGTTGTCCGAGACCGCATTTCATTGCCATTTTTTGATGCAATTTCAGTGAACTGCACCTTTAAGGAGAGTTTTTGTGGATGGCGAAATCTATTTGCACCTTGGGATCAAATCGACTGGAGGAGAGGATCAGAAAACTCAAGTGAACAAATTGAAGCGAGCGGTAATCTCACTGGCAAGTAAAAGATGCCACCGCCATTGTATTTTTAGTGTCCACCACCTACACAAAATGCTCAACTTTACGGGCATTGATGGCTTCACCACCGATGATAATTCAACTACTGCTAATATGTTTACCTTTGATGAAGCGGTTATTCCTTAATGAAAAGGACAAAATCCATCGACTTAATTTAGAATTATCCTTGTCACCTGACGTATTTCGATTCATTGTCGAAGAAAGCCAGGGTGTTTTACCGTTTATTATTCACCTATCCATGATTAATTATGTGCTTATGCCTTTCTTTTCAGTATCAAGAGGAAGAAAATATATTTACATCGAAGAATCACAACCTGACAAAGTAAATCAAACCGCTCAGTTATCGAGTCCATTTATTCGGGGACCAAAATGTTTCCGCTTTTCTTATCGCTTGTCCGGACGTGATGTGGGAAGACTGGATGTCTTGCTTCAACTTCGAGGGCGACAAGGAGATTACTTGATGTGGAATAAGTCGGGGGATCAGGGAAGTCAGTGGATAATGGCTAGCGTCGATATCGGTTATACTGACGAGTGTCAGGTACACACATTCTAAAGGCAGGAAAAAAAAGGAGATGATATTTACTCTTCTTTATGTAGGTCCTATGATTTTTATGATGCCGAGAATTGCAATATGCATAGATTACATCTGTCACTGTAGTATAAAATAATAAGGGGTAGCACTCCTAGTCCTGGTTGTTGAAGTTGGCCGCAAGTGTTAATCTTGCTTACTGATAACCTTTTCAAGCAATTAGATTAGACTGCACTGTCACAAAATAAATAAATAAATACGATTTCAATGATAATTCTTATCACAGATTGTCCTGCAAGCAACAGTTGGCAAAAACTACACAAGTCGTATAGCCGTCTATGACGTCAACTTAGTTGATGGACTATGCCATGACGAGAGGGAATTTAGCACCAACGTACAAGGTTCTTGTCATGCTTCTGTTCAAAGTATTACAGAACCATTCATGATTCTCTCGTCGCTTATTTCTTGATGGTCTGTTATAAAATGCGCAGTTTCCGAACTTTTGTTATAAATTTCTTATTTGTCAACTTTAAAGATAACGGCTATCACATCTTTTATTTTTAGGGAATTGTAACTTCGATCATAACTTGTGCTTTTGGAGGAGTGATTTAAATTTTATCTTCGCATGGAGAAGAAAAAAAGGCGGGACATCGAGCCTTCAGACTGGACCCAGCAGGGACCATACTTCAGGTAAAACGAGGTAGATAGTACTGGTCTTTCTGCATGTAGGGTGAATCACTTTAAGCAGAGATGGGGGATATAAAATTTAACCTAGGTGGTCATAACATAATTGATTTGTACCCTGCATGCTCAAAAACGAATGAATGAAGATCTAGCAACTGAATCAGAAAAATTAGATTGTCCTTGTATTTGTTACTCAAATGAAAAATTTGTGCATGTAATACTAGTTTTTCTTTCGAAAGGATCTGGTTATTACATTTATATTGAAACATCGAGGCCCAGAAAGATGGGAGACACTGCAAGGCTCACGAGTCCGTGGCTAAGAGGACCACATTGCATGATGTTCTACTACCACATGTATGGCTCTTCCATGGGATGTGTTGTTGTGTACATAAGAAGACAGGCTGCAGACAGATTACAACCGCTTTGGCTGAGGTCCAAGAATCAAGGAAACAGATGGATTCAAGGGCAAGTTAGCATAAACGATACTTCAAGTTATCAGGTGGGATGTCACGATTTGAATCATAGCCTCTGCCCAAGGTGGCTACAGTCAGAATAGATTTATCGTTTCCGCTATAAAGAGAGTTCTCCTATGACTTCTGCCATTTTAATTGCGCTGTTAATTACAGCAGTCTTCCCAAGTATGGAGATTTTCTTGGAATTTATCGATCAAAGAATGCATTACATAACAGCGTGACAGGTTTAAAAAACTCAGGGAGATTAAACGCTGGCTGCAATATCATTCTCCAGAAAAAAAAAATTAGGACTTCCAAGATTTTCAACAAACGGGAGAACTTTGATATACAAAATAAGTTGTCTCTCACCTCGTTTACGTGAGATCTCATGATAGCTAGGAAGTCTTCTTCTCTGCCATTTCTAGATAATAATTGATGGTATTAGAGGCACAAGCTTTCGTGGAGACGCAGCCTTGGACGACTTCACGTTTCAACACGGACTTTGTCACCAATTAAGTACGGCAATATCAATATCTTTTTTCGATTATATGGAAATAATTTGGGCACATGATAACGGTGTTTACTTCATTTTCAATCTATGGAGCAGTACCTTAATGTGGTTTTTTCAGTTTTGTGTTTATTGACGTAACTGCTCAAATTAGGTAAGTTAGTTTAAACGTTTAAAACTTCACCAAGAATCGTTGGGAGGCAGACTTTGACATAAAAGCATGATCCATGATTCCATTTGAATTTATTATTTTAGGTAAAGCAACGTTCTACGTGTCTTCCCTTAAGGGAAACGATTTCAGAATATCGACAAGACCCTCTGGAGACAATCTGTACTCCGACGAATTCAGATTCAGTGTCGAACATCCCCGAGGAAATCCGACAGAGAACACTTATTTCATCTATCCTCATGCAAAGGGACACAGCTTTGTTACCACAAAGCTAGATATTTTTAACTATAATAACTATCCCTTGGATGTTGCTGTCCTCAATCACAAGGAGTTGTCACTGAATTGCAGTAAGATTTTCTTCATTAGCAGAGATAGGGTTGGGCCTATGATAACTCTTGAAGATCCCAGTCTTAAGGATGGTTGCAAATGCAAGGCGAATTTCTCTTTTTATGCCTGCAATGTGGTTCAATCAGGTGAGGAACCGGAAAAGACTGTTTAAGTGAAGCCTGAAAAATTTTTCATTAGGCTACTAGCCTAAGTACATAATACATACTTTGACGAAGCAAAGAGATTTTACAGTGCCAATTTTTTTTGTTTTTCGCGCGACAGTAAAGCGAGAGAGATTGACGACAAGGTTGAAGATCCCTATTCAATTAATGGAAATTCATCTACATGATTATTTTCCTATTTTCACGCTTATTTTAAAACCACACTTTTAGAATAAAAAAGAAATCGCTCGTTGAAAGACGGGACTCACGTATCAAAATAAGGCAAACGAGGAGTAGTTCTCTTAAGAATGTCTCAGTAATCCATACGGGGCATCTGTCACAGTAACAAACTTTATTTTGCATGTTTTTAAACCACGGAAGTTACAAACCAGAGTGAGTGCCAGTTGAATGGAGAAAAAATCCATGAAATATTTTCTTTGCAGAAAGCCGTTCTATTTCTGGATGTGAACCTGGTTGGTACAAACTAGGACAAGCATGTTTCATGTTCTATTTCCAATCATCTAAGGCGTGGCGGTTTGCCCGGAACCTGTGTCACAAACAGAAGAGCGAAATCGCTATAGTCAATAGTGCAGAGCAACTAGAGGCCCTTGCAGATCAGAGGAAAAAACTCAAGCGTGAATACCGCGGTCTTACACTTGGACTTGATAGCAACCTACGTTGGGTTTGGATAGATGGTGAGAATGCAAAGAGTAATGAAAATCTATGGGGGCCAAATGAACCAAGCGGAGACGGTAAATGTGGAGCTTTCTTAAATGCAATTGAATGGAATTCAAACTGGGCTGGGTACGGATGGCGCTGGAATGATATATCCTGCACGAGCCGTGAAGGATATATTTGTGAGGAACCATTAGGTATGTGATTTAGTGGCTGGTGTATAAATCAAAACAGTTTATCTTTCTTTAAACCGTTTACTATGTTTGTTATATGTATAAATCGTTTTCCCTCTCTTTCAATATTACTATGTTTGGCTATGTAAACTTCACTGATAATATTACTGGAGGAATGTTCAGGTATCTAAAAGGTAAGGTGATTTATAGTTTTTTGAAATTCCTTCGAACTACTTTTTTTCAAAAAGACTTCTCGCAATAGACATTTATGTAGCATAGAGATTGTTTTCATCTGTTCATGATCATTTGAAAGTCGATGGAAAAATATTGTTCACCTATCACAAATCTGTTTATTTTCTAAGACGTCCCCCTACCTGTGGCTCTCTTTTCTACCAGTCGCACCGATGGAGTTGTTGACCTGAGTCCAAATGGAGCCACTAAAGCAGTGTTTGATAACATCACGCTGACAAGAGGTCCCTGGGGTAATCCAGTTGGCTCCTTTCTCTTCAGTGGTTTGAATAACAGCTACGTGGAAGTTGAAAATGAGGGAGAACTTGATACAAGGTTTTCGATGAGTGTTTTTGCATGGGTCCACCCTGACGCTTCTGCCACTCGTGCTGGTCCGATATATGATAACGGTTGCTCGATGTGGGTTTTTCCTTCAACTTGGGGACTTGAAATTCGTTATATGGTTAGGGATCGTTCTAAGATTCACCTATTGCGTAAGGATGGTGTTATCAAAATAAATGAGTGGAATTTTATAGGGACCACATACGATTATCACACTGGCGTTGCGTCTGTGTGGGTGAATGACAGCATGGTTATGAACAAGTCTCTTGGATCTAACGTGGAATTGGCGACTCAAGGAAATCTTACGATAGGAGCGTCCAACAATCGTGAGATACAATTTTATGGCAAAGTTTCCTGCTTGCAGTTCTACGCTCAAGCATTGTCCTTGGATCAAATTATGAAGATAAAGACAAGATGCAATCAAACCAGTAAGCATGTCTAATAAATGTCTGTTTGGACCTTGTTTTCTCAAAAAGGCAAAATTTATACCCAGTGACGTTGTTTCAAGAACCAGCCAATTTTTATTTTAATTGACCCTAGTGTGTTTTCTTGTATCAGTCTTCTCTTTACCATGGAGTTGCGTTTTAGCCTCTACTGTTATTTTATTTTTTGTTTTGATCTCTCTCTCCCTTTCCCGATTTCTTTGATTCGTCTAACCTGCCCTTGTAGGCAATGCTCGAGATTCAGCTGTATAAATTACAGACTCGACGTAAGTCACTTATTCTTGAAACGTTTACAAGTTTGGAGACACCTCTTAAGGTGATTCTGTAATGTATGGTCTTTTATACATAATAGGATAACACTTCACTCAACTCAACTCGTCAACCTGGTGCCCTTGGAATAGTTTTTTTCTAATTCAGGTCAGCCAGGAACTATATTAAGGTTATTGACCTTGAAGATTTATTTTTACTCAATACTTTTGCTTCTTTAGTATTACCTTGGACCTCACTAGATTACAAAAAAGTAGGATGCTATCGTGACACAAGTAATCGTGCAATTCCAAAATTAGAAGACGCTGACCCTTTATTGCTCGGTGCCTACCAGGACCGTGAAAACGCGATCGAAAAGTGCGCCCTCGCAGCTCGAAAAAGGGGTTTTCGCATGTTTGCACTTCAGAATGGCGGATGGTGTGCAGCCAGTGTGGGGAATATCTCTTTTGACGTCTGTGCATTTTATGGGTCAATTTGCAATTATGTAGTTCGGTACTAAAGCCAAATAAGATTATTGAATTATTGATATTGTCGTTGATGAGAACATTTCAAACATTAACAAGCCACTTTTATCGACTAAGTAGACCCAATATTGAAACTAAAAGCAGAGCAACGCGTAATTGTCATTCCTGATAATTGTGGCGTGTACTACAATCAAAAACTATAGAATGGCTCTGTTGACAAGATTTTTTGTTTCTTTTCCATGAAGTTTCTCAATCATGGTGCCGTCCGGGCTTTTTTCCCCTTCATGGCGGTTGCTATTTTATATATCCCCCAAAAGAACTTAATTGGCAACAGGCTTTGGAGCGGTGCAATCGAAGTGGTGGAACCTTGGCCAAGATAACTCGTGAGGGTTTGAGATCCACTTTCTCCAATTTATTAGAAGAAATAAGACGCTTCAAGCCATATTATAATAGTTTCTTCATTGGCCTGTTGAGCAAGGACGAGTGGACATGGATTGACGGCAGCCCGTTAAATAGCTCGTTGTGGAAGCAAGGATATCCAAAAACAATTGAAAAAACCCGTAGCTGTGGTTATCTAGCTGGTGGCTCATCGCGATACATGGTTATCAGAAAAAAGCTGGTGAATCTTAGTTAAATGCTCCTTTTTTCCTTTTTTTAAAATATAGTTTCATATATACACGTGTGTGTGTATTGAGATAGAAAAAAACATAGGGACGACACTTTCCCCACTGTGTCAGCACAAGTTAAAAGCTGGTGACCTGAATTGCCATCAATTAGCAAACGTAATGAAGTTGTGTCTTCGTGCCGTCACAGAAACAAAGCGTTGTGCGTAACAGCTGAACAAAACATCTAAATTTACCGCCACATGAATTATGCAAATTTTATAGTATATTAACGATGGTTACGATGGTCACGATGGTCATATATATATAACCATGGTCAATTAACGTTCACGTTCTCTTTAGACCTACGTCGAGCTCCAACAGACCGAACATTCTCTAGCAGTATCTAGCTTGCCAACTGAACCTTCCTCTTTGTACTCGTCCTTGCGATTTTTCAAACCTCTCAAACTTTCATAACAATTAAAAAGTTTAATTGCTAGATATAGCTGTGACATTTTAATTAAATTATAGAAGAGTCATTGTCAAACCGGAGTTTGATACGAAGTTCAAGCATGTTGCAGCCATTTGAACCTATCCTTGCCATAGATCGATCTTACTCTACTTGCTTTCGTTCTTTGAAGGTAAGTAATGACATTGGTTGCTTAATTCGCGTGCTAAATCTGTTGTTGAGTTTTTCCAGTCTTTCTGGATCGAAAGCTGCAGCAGAATTTCCTACCATTTAGTGAAAATAGATGGACTAGAAATGTCATCTGTTCTGGCTTGAGCAAAATATTTTCCCCTATGTTTTATTCATTTCTTTTTACGTTCTCGTCGGTTTAGGAATCAAATCCCTGGTGGCAAGCAACTTTTGACAAACTGCTGTATGTCGTTTCTGTTTCTATAATTGACAAAATCGATTGCTGTCCACGTGACTCTGGAATCATCAATGTTAGTGTGACAACCAGTCAAACTGGCTTGTCTCCAACATGTTCCAAATCGATGGCATATGATGGAACAACACATGAGTTCATTTTTGATTGCTCACCACCCGCGCTTGGAAATAATGTGAAAATAACGTTGACGGGTGATAATGTCACGTTAGTTCTCTGCCATGTTGCCGTGGAAACAATTGGTAAGTTATTGAAAGATGCCTTTATTTATTAATTTTTTTTGCCCAGACGCTTTTTTGGTGAGGGAAAGAATGAAGCTAATCTAGCTTATTTTACATTCTTTGGTATCAGCCTTCGCACTTATTATCTTTTGATAAATAAGTGAGCTAACGCGATGTAAGAGTATCCTAGTCATCTATTTCATTCAGCAATTTTTGGCCTGTTTCAAGTGAAAATGGACGGGAGATATCTTTTTGGGGGGGGCTACTCTGCTTGTACGAGTAAACGTATTTGTTCAATGTTTGACTTAATATAGAGTCGACCCGAGAGGTACACGGAGTTTTGCGTGAAGGATGGTACAATAAATACGAATATGACTCCAAAAAGACATCATCTATGCGTGAACACCCTCTAATTCAAGGTCCACCTGAAAGCCGGATTATTTTGAGAGATTTTGATGCGCCAATAAATCTGGCAGAGAACTATGTTCAACGATTGACAAGTTACCTACAGGTAGAATCTCATCATAGCAAACGTATTTTTGCACTCACCTGAGATCAATTGTAAGGCTTTTGATGCGTTGTAAGGTTCACTTTTCCTTTCGAAAAGCAGGGAGTATCTCAAGTGAAAGGTAGTATGAAGGAATCACTGTAATCCTGCCTTTTTGACATGTTAAGATTAAGTTTGTTGTCGGTGTTGCTGCTGTTTATTTGTTGGTGCTATCGCTTTTTTCATTAAAAAAATACATTTGTTAGAATTTGACCGAACAGGCCAATTATGAAACACTGTTTCAGGTTTCTCTGAGCGGAAATTACACCTTTTATGTGGCGTGCGACGATATGTGTGAGTTATGGAAGTACGATGTTACAGAGACAGGCATCAGAAGAGTTGAAATAGAATCTGGGGAAAGTGCAACGAACCAACCAATTATTTATGTTAAAAGGTGGACACAATATCTCCAATGGGACAAGTAAGTGATGTGCAAGCAGTACATTACTATGTTAATTATTTTGGTGACATTTTTAGTCGTCATTAGAGCTGATATACTCTAATTACTTTGTTATTGAAGGTACCCAGAGCAAACATCTCAGCCAATCGTCCTTAAAAAGTGTCGCTTTTATCGAATGGTGATCTTCGGTAGAGAAAAAGGCGGCAACGATCACATATCTGTGGGCATGCGTAACCCAAATGGGGAATATGAACGGCCTATTACTGGGGAAAGACTGTTTTGGACTAAACCAGGTAGGGACATTCTGATTCGTTTATTTGGTTAAAGCAGAGAGAGGAAACGAACAAGGAAACAAAGTTAAGGAGAAAAACATGAACGGAAAGTGTTTCAAACTATAAAAAAGAAGACAAACAAGCACACACAGAAAAAAAACAGACTGTTCAATAGAACGAGTTATCTATGTCTCTCTCTTGGACCCAGACATCTTTACCATGAAGCTGAAGCTCATAACTTCTCCTAGGAGCTACTGGAATTTCTTTTGTTCGGTGCCACTGATTAAACAAAGAAACAAAAAAAAAAGACATGTATTAGGAGACAAATATCTTCATTTACAATGCTTTTTTCGATTGAAGTGTAAAATTTTGTTTCTCTTCAAAGGGACGCGTAATTTAGAAATGTCACTTAAGAATCACAAGACATCGATATCTGCCTTCGTTGGGTCAAATTTACTCATAACAGGTTGGTTTATTGGTATTGTCCTACATCTACAAGGATTCTCTCACCTATATTGAAAATATGGGGAATCGGGAAGATTTAAGTGATCATGTGGGAATCAACCCCTCTAAATTATAAAGAAAGTAGAAGCTCTCTACTATCAAGAAAGATCTTGATAAGATATAATGGTACTTAACGACTCATAAAAAAAAACGTTTTCACTTAACGTCATTGCGGTCATACTTTTAACTAAAACAGTGAAAAAACGGCCACTTCGGCGTCCATTACAATTACATATTACAAAAAAACACAAAAAAAAACAAAAACAAAGAACTAAAAAGAAACAGTTTCTTTTGTTCCAATTTCTTCGCATAAATTATCATTATGTGATTGAAAAAAGTTCGTGGCCGGTACTATGTGACGTTTCAGAAATATATCAATTCAGGAATACCTTTGAGAGAGATCTTAACTGAGACGCAACACTGCGTCGAAAAAGCCTCAAACAACCTTTTTATAAGCATTTGATGATTGCTAACTCGGAAGGCGTGGTTAGGATCATCTTTACGAGAGGAGGACGGTAGACTATCAGTTTAAACTTGCGAATGGAACTTTAAGACGTAGACTGTAGAATAGGTTCATCATACAACATGTTTGGCCAAATTATAGGATATTACAAGTTTTGCTGTGAGGGAGTCTATTGTCCTGATTGCCCACTGGAACTGAACATCTCAAGCCTCGGACAAAATCTAACTCTGAACTCAGCAGTGAGCCTGTCCTGTGTTAACACATCATTTGAGGTAGTTTTTAACACGATCTGTCAACCTGGAAATTTTACTGTGAAGGTAAGAAGCTCTCATTTAAGTAGCTGTCATCATTTAAGTGATGATTCCTACTACATTTATGGCAACAAAATCAACGAGACACCGTGCCATGCTTATTTAAAAAAATTGGCAATAATATGAATCATAATGAAGCATAAACTGTGAATAGACTTAATTATACACATGAGCCTGCAATTCTAAGGTTTTAGTTGGCCGCCATGTTAGTCAGAGATTTGGTGATTAAAGCCTTTAAGTTCAGGCAACGTCTTCCCTCGTTTATAACAATTTATAAAATTTGACAAGAATATGAATCATGATGAAGTAAATGAATGATAAATTTTTGAAATTGTAGGGGATTGTTTTTATCACTGTTTTTTTTTATTAACTTGTCATCGGTATAAGTAGAAATACATTGGTCTTTAACTATTTAAGAGTGTGTCGACCCCATCACCCTAAAAATAGAAGTAAAACGTATGTAGTCGAAACTTTGTGTCCTACACTACATCTTGAGACGAACGAGAGTAGTGCATTACTTTTGCATTAATCAGGTTGGATGATTACAAATCTTTTATTTGAGAAGAACACGGCCTTGAGGTAAAGCAAAGTGGTGCATGCACGAACGATAAGCCTCACTGAACTGGAAACTGTCATATTTGGAAGTAGTACCTAACCCACACGCTGTGATTATTTTCAGGCCAGCTATTCATTCGTGGAACATCCAGAGGAAATTCTCGAGGAGCGAGTTTTGGGACAAGTAGATCTTAAAGGTATCTCCTTTTACAGTATTATATAGGATTACAAGAATTACTGTGTCTGTGTGAATCCGTAAATGTTGCTCTTTAACCACCGCTAACGGAGATTTATTTTTTATGTTTCCTCAAAAGCGGTGGTGCTAGAAGAATGCTACTTCGAGTCTGGAAAATGCGACTGGACTAGCCCACATGCAAATTCCAAGTGGAAGCTCTTTCCTGGTACGAAATCTATAAAATACTTCAGTAAGCTTAAGTACTTAAGAAAAGAAGGGCAGTACTGCGAGCAACAGTTAAGTTTTTTTTTAAATGACTTGCTTTTCCTGCTAACAAAGAAAAATCCTTAGAATAGAATTATTACGCTACAAACCACTCCCTAAAGGAAATGAAGTTTGAACAATGAGGCTGAAATTAAGGAGATCTGAATTCAATTGGCAGACTGTGATCCTAAATTCAGAATCTTTTTGGTTAAACGTCGCTACGAATAGAAAAAAGTATTAAAAAAACGTTTCATTCTATGAAATTCACTGTACACATTTTTATCTTAGGCGATTTTGCATACATTAATGGCCCTTACAAAGCGCAGTTACAGAGTCCACTATTACCATGGGAACCATTTCATCGAGTCGTTGGCTTGTGCTTACGGTTCACTTACCGTATACCTTTTAAATCAAAGTCAACCATAAAAGTTCTTCTTCGGGAACCAGGGAAAGAGGAGCTAATTTTAACATGGCAGCTTAGGGGATACCATGGTAAAGAATGGTCTGCGGCTGAGGTGTCTTTGCCCGGCGCAGCAGCAGTTCAGGTCAGAAAGTTATGACGATGAAATTTATTCGATTGAACTCTTCATTTATTTCTGGAGTTCATATTTCATAATTTTTAAATGAATCTTTGACATTTGCTATGATAGGTGATGATACGTACTTCATTAATCTCTTTGTCTAGATTATATTTGAGGGAGAAGGCTTTCTTCATAACCAAGTAAATGCAGCAATCAAGAACGTGATTGTAACTACCGAGAAATGTGGCTTGCTACCATACTTTGCAAAACCAGGTTATATTTGCCGGTTTTCTTTTCTTCACTTTTTTTTTGTGTGTTGCTGATTTTGAACATGACAAGATAGAGTTATTAAAGTTAACCAAAAAAAAGGGAACAATTATCACTGACATCACCGATTCTTTGAATTCAGATAAAATAAAAAGGTACATTAAGTTTGCATGCATCTGATGGATGATAAAGGAGAAAGAAAGGAAAAAATCGTATGTTTTCTTAGCTTTTATTGATCACATTGGATTTTCAGGTTTTAGTTGCGGGAATAAACAGTTTCAATGCAAGAATGGCGAATGTGTCAAGGAAAATTTGCGATGTGATGGCGACTTTGCTTGTACCGATGATTCAGATGAAGATAATTGTGAATGTCCCTACAATAAGTTCGCTTGTCTGGATGGAAAATGTCTTCCAGCATCAGCTGTATGTAACGGTATAAATGACTGCTCTAATGGGGATGATGAAAATAACTGCCGTGAGTAAATCTTCCTTTGCCATCCACTTTTTGAGTCTTGATTTAATTAGAGTGAAACTCGCTATTTGCCCTTCCCATCTATGTATGCTGAGTTGCATTTCCACATAGTTTGGAATTACTGCTTTTTAGGAAATAAGTGCCCCTTTAAGCATCACTGTCTTGATGGATCATGCATTGCTTGGTCAGAGACCTGTATTCGAGAGCCTTCCTGCAAGGATGGAACTAACACTCCATCAGTATGCGGTAAGTAAGGCATAGAAAACGTCTTAACCAACAAAATTTATTTTTTGAAATTACACGTTCTTGTATCGAAGGCCTGAGATTTCAGGCCTCTGTTTTGATCTCGTCGTAATCCATTTATCGCTGAAAGATCACAAAATAAGCTATGTGAGCCACAAATGGACATGATCATAAGGTGTTAGAGATAAAAGCTGCGTCTTCGTGAAATTATGGTTATTATCTTCGGGTCTACTAGCGTAATGGACGACAGCGATGTTTCTGAAATGTTCTAACTGCGAGAGGTGTCCAATATGTAAATTTTTGTCTTGATCGAATTCTTATGAACTAGTGAAGACAAATAAGAATCTACTAGGGAAGGAAGCTTTCGTTTACGTGGAACCAAATTCACAACAAATAATTAATTATGTCGTCATCAATTGGCCGAATTAATCCTTGGAGGTTGACAATGAAGTAGGTAGCATGTTTCATGGAGTCGATTACTTGCCTTACAGGATCTGGGAAATGCCGCCTTAACGACTTAGCGTGTTCATCCAAAGAGTCCAAAGGACCAACAAGATGTAAATCTTTCAGAAGTAAGTGCATGGCTTTGTGTTGCCAATATAGCGTCTAAATAAACTCAAATTTAGCGCAGATTTAAGGCACATGCGCAGAGACGTTAGGGGAACAAAGATAGAATGAAGAATAAATTTGGTTATTTATTGATAATCCAAGGCACATGCGTAATTTCCAGTTTTTGCAATTTCGAAAATGACTTGTCACTCCGGTGAAGCCACTTTCCAATGGACCACAGCAGGTGAAACACCAACGGAGAAGATGGGCCAAGTTATGATGCAGGCCGATGAATTTCTATGGTTATTTATCGTGAGTCACGAAAATCCATGAGGCATTTCCTAACTGCTGTAATTTCAAACAGGTTTTTGCAATTTCGAAAATGACTTGTGCCAACTTACTCCGGATATGAATGCCACTTTCCAATGGACCACAGCTTCAGGTGAAACACCAACGGAGAAGACTGGGCCAAGTTACGATCATAGCACGTTAAGCAAAGACGGTAAAAACAAATGAATTTTCATATATCTAAATCTTCATTCACTCGGATGTTTATTTACTAAGACGGATGTTTATTTACAACTGGAAAAATCTTCTAAATTTTAATCAAGTTAAAATAGTGAATCTCACATAAAATCCTGACCTAACTTGTTTTGCATGGTGCAGTACGCCCAAATTAGTACGACGGCACATTCCCCTTGTGACGTCTGTGTTGGGAAAGTTGTGTCTTATATTTGTTTGGTGCCGGGGTGTTGTTGAATAATATCAACTGAAAATCGAGAAATGGCGTCACGACAAGCTTTCTGTTAACATACAGTGCATCTTACTTAAAATCCTTACCTAACTTGTTTTGCATGGTGCAGTGCGCCCAAGTTAGTTCGACGGCTTATTCTCCTTGAGAGGTCTTTGTTGGAAAAGTTCGGTCTTATATTTGTTTGGTGCCTTGGTACAGCTGAATAATAATATCAACGTAAAATCGTGAAATGGCGTCACGACAAGCTTTTTATTATCACGTGTACAAATTTGCTTTATGGTCACTCAAACTTTCTTCGGTGCTCTCACAAAAAGGGAATTTGGCATAAATTACACAAAGAAAGTAATGGAGAACATTTGTTACTTCATAGGGTCGTATATCTATATCGAAGCTTCTCCGCAACGCTCTGGGGACGTGGCAAGGTTGTTAAGCAAATGGATGGAACCCAACCAGTCAGCTTGTGTTCAGTTTTGGTATCATATGTACGGGTCAGATATCGGTAATCTGAGCTTTTATCTGAAGACTAATCAATCCGAGACATTGGTTTGGAGACTGTCAAGCGATCAAGGGGATCGCTGGAAGTTTGGTCAATTTTCTCTGATCAGTGAAAGGGCTCATAGGGTAAGTTACGCTAAGCTTCCAAACTGCCGTATCTTTCGTTTGAAACTGTAATCTTTATCTTTATTTTTTTGGCTGGAACTGTTCTCATTTTCTGAAAATCTAATTTAAAAAGCATTTGCCAAAGCATGCACATAAGTGTATATTGATCGGAATATTTCAAGACGGGTTAATTTAATGCGCTGATCTTGGCTTGGTGATGAGCCGCTCTTGGTAACTCTCTTTCTTTTTTTTTACGTATTTTGACTTATATGGAGATTGATAACGTTAATGAGAATGTGGTCACAAATTATATATATATTTTTATGCTGTTTGCAAAGTTTGTCATAGAAGGAACGACTGGTGATGGAAGTGAAGGTGACATTGCAATAGATGATATGTCTGTGCTGGATGGAAACTGTAAGAAGATTATTGCACAAGGTTTGGATTAAAACGCCTAAGGGGAAAGCAAAGCAATGGTTTATTTACAGCAAAGACGTTACTTGAAATGATTTTTAACGCCGCTACAGTTCTTTTTAGAATCTGAAATATTTCGAGGCTGCCTCTTTAGTGATATTCTAATAAAAATTTACAAAAATAGCGGAGCCTGCAGCGCACTTAGCGTAGCCCCATACCTCAGCAAATTTGGTAACCTGTTCGGTTAGACAATTTTGGTTGTAACGCGATGTTCGTCGTCCGTCCGTCTGTATTCTCGTTCACCTGAAAAGATAAATCATACTTTGCATAAGCGAACAGCTGCACTTTAAACAAGGGCACATGGCAATTTATGAGTACACGTAAAAGTGTATGAAGTTGTGCGCTTGCGTGAGTCTATGACTAATTCGCAGACCAAACGTGCATATGCCACTAAATGTGGCTGTAACTTTACGGACTGCAAAAATTCGAGATCTGCCTTAGCATAGTGTAAGCGCAAGTTAGACCGATTGGACATCTATAAATCTTCGTGGGAGAGTAGTCTTAGGTTAACAAACTTTGCTGTTTCAATGTAACATCGACCAAACCAATTTAACTTTAAGTATATTACCGTCCTTACGAGGATTTATTTTAAAATCGAAGGTGTTTCGTTCAACATATATTTGTCAACAGCTGGTTATGGCACAGAATCCGTTGTCAAATATACGCATCGAACTCAACCCGTTTTAGTTTTGAAAAAGACACCTGTACCTGAAAAACGGTGTCAGCCAAACGCACGGAGAAAAACCCTCAAGAGGGTCTGATTTTTGGTAGGAGACTACTAAACCTAACCACTGAGTTCCATTCGTTCTTCTGAGATAGAAACTATGAATTCGACAAAACTTGAAAAAGGTTTCTATCATTTTCTTTCAATCTTTAGGTAGTCCAGACTGCAGTTTTAGAGAGGATACGTGTGATTGGGAGACTCGGGAAGGATGGACTCTCTCTAAACACTTACCTAACTCAGATTTACTAAATTACGGTAGGATTTTATTCATTCAATTTTTGTGGGCTGAGAAGTTGTAATAAGGTTTATATTGATTGAGGCCTTGAGCTACTGTATATCTTTTTTATTCCAAGCTTTTGCCGATCCAAGTAAGGCATCGATTGCGTAGATCGGCAAAGCTTGGAATAAAAAAGAAATTCAGTGACTCAGTGCCTCAATCGAATCATCCATTAAATGGACATGATACTGATAGACAACTTCAAACGTTTACTTTATGACTGCTTTCTACTTCAAATATTTTAGAATAGAAATAACACAGTATAAAATCTTTACTGATTAAACACTGGGCAATCCACACTGCACATACCTGCTGGCAGGATAGGTGAGCGGCTGACAGACTGACTTGCTTACAAACTGACTGAATGACAGACAAACTGAACCAGTGACGGACTGTTGACCGATTAACAGACATCAGCACTTAACATATTGAAATGTCTCATATGTGAAATCGCTGTTAACCTCTTTCAGGCCATAATCAAATAGTTGCAGTTAATTTCTTACGTCACTGTTAGGTCCAGGTGTATCATTTATTTTTCTCCGCGCCGGAGCATCTGAAGTGCCTCATACACTCTCGTCCCCAATTATAAACACTCACGAATGGAAGTGCTTACGCTTATGGTATTTCATTGGTGCCACAAACTTGTACAAAACGTCGTTACAGGTGCTTCTGCAGTCGTTAATATCGAACCTATCCACACTGCTCTTCTTTGTGGATGAAATGGCAAGTGCGACAAATTATACTCAGATACCGTTGCCAAGCAATTACAGCAAAGCAAAGGTACCAAAATGTAATTCTTCCTAGTAGACTTGTGAGAAGAAATTTTTGCGGGCTGTAATGACGTTTTGAGATACTTATTCAGCCTCTAGGTATACAAGTTCACTTTTTTCTATTACAAGCATCCTTTATCAATTGTTTCAGACTGATTAATGTCTTATGAAGTACACTCCCCTAGCATTAATGTAGTAAGAAATTCCGACGCTTGTGACTTATGTATGAACATTTTCTTTAAACACAATACAGCTTGAATTCTTTGGTATTTATGAAGAGTTTGGTGACCAAATTCTGGCCATTGAACAAGTTTCCTTTTCAAAAGAGCCTTGTGACCCAATTTCTTGGCGACAAAATGGTGAGTTTACATGTATAAGACTTGAAAACTAGGTTTTGTAAATTTATTTTGTTTAATGCTGAGCGCAGACTACCTTAAGGACGACTCGTTTATTACACAAAACTCTATACTAATAGCTTTAAATTCATTTAGTTTTAAAATTCGTTAAACTGTGTATCTTACTTTACAAAATCGCACCCCTCTGACGGAAACTTTACTCGAAGGGAATGCCTGTTCGTCAAGTTAGCACTAAATTATACGCTTATCTGTACATGTAACGTTTTTAAGTGTCCTAACATTTAAATCTATGAGTAATTAATGTCATAAAACCTCTAGATATTAACGAACCCCTTGGAATGCAAAATGGTGAAATAGTAGACACGCAAATCAGTTCTTCATCATCAATGGACGAGGCTCATGCTGCCAGTCGAGGCCGTCTACACTTAAACGCAACTTCAGGAAAGGCAGGCGCTTGGTCCGCCGGCACAAATGACAACAGCCAGTGGCTCCAGATTGATCTGCGTAATAATAACATCAGAGTCACGGGTGTTGCGACACAAGGGAGAAACGGACGGTACGCCCAGTGGGTAACGAAATATAAGTTACAGTACAGCAGCGATGGGGTAAACTTCCAGTTCTACAAGGAACCTGGACATACCGCTCTTAAGGTGTGCACGAAATCCATTGAGCTGCCCACTCTTTATGTTTATTGTTCATTTTTTTAGGTGACATCAACCAACGTAGTATAGCTCACTTAACTGGTTTTTTACCCAGCAATAGCTGTATCAACTCTTAAAAGTGTTTTAAGCATGGACAAGATAAGTCCTAACATACTTGATTCAACTGTCAGAATCAATGACACTGAGACAACATACTTAAGAAACTGAATGTGCGTAATCGTTATGGCTGAACACTTTTAGTTATCACATGCTGACCTCGTGTCAAGAATAAATTTCAATACAATTAGTGCTTTAAAGAGTCACTATTTTGCTAATGTAGGATTTCGCTGGAAACAAAGACCAGGATTCTGTTGTTTATCACGAACTTAAGTTTCCTATCAGAGCACGATTCATTCGCTTTCAACCAGAGGCTTGGCATGGGCAGATATCAATGAGAGTTGAGTTGTATGGTCATCAAAAAGGTATGTTAATCAAAAGTGTATGATTTCATATTCAAATTTAAAAAAATGTGAAACTCTTTTTATTGAGCCAGGATATCCTCAAAAGAAACCAAAATAAAACAGAATTGAAAACAAAACAAAAAAGGAATAATATTCCGAAAAAGAATAAATTATAGATTTTGATAAGCAAAACGATGTGTCACCTCCATTCTCAAATAGAATGCCAGAAAGCTCTGGGTATGGAAAACAATGAAATCTCCGATGGGCAAATTCGTGCCTCTTCCAGCTGGGATGGCAACTCTGTCGCTAGCCGTGGGAGATTATCAATTAAAGCATCTGGTCGCATGAGAGGAAGCTGGACAGCTTCTGCAAAGAATTCACACCAATGGCTTCAGATTGATCTTGGAGCCAACGATACTAAAGTTACAGGTGTAGCTACTCAAGGAAGGCAAGATGCCGACCAATGGGTTACCAGTTACAAGCTTCAATATGGTAATGATGGATTGAATTTTCAGTACTACAAGGATCAAGGTGAGGAAAAGGTGAGCAAAAATTATCTTGATTTTTGGAAAACCTCCATTAACATCGAAAGTTGTAAAATAGGGTCTGGATTAGGGGGAAAATTCTCAGCCGCCAAACTAAGTCATAAGTTTCTGGCATTACTCACAGTTTGGCAACTTTGATAAAGTTAATGTAACTTCCATCCAAGCTGGCCCTTGGACCTAAGAGTTCAACGGAAAACACGCAGCAATTTTAATACACGACCAGCCTCCATTCGAATCCTTGCTTGTCGTGAGCTAGCACAAGAAAATATAGACTAAGCTGGTTCAATGTCAAAACCAGCGTTTGACTAACAGATAAGAGGTAATAAAATCACTATTTTCTTTTGTTTCTCATTGGTTTAGATAAATAAATTTTACTTCAAAGTAGTTTTGAAGTTTCAGGGGCATAAGGAATGGCTGCGAAAACGCTCTCTGAATAAATGTATCCTTTTAATGTCGACCTAATGGTTTCTGACTTTGAAAAGCGACATTTTCAGTTGCTGATTTCAAAGTAATGATAATAATAATGATAATAATGATAATAATAACAAATAGAAAAACACGTTGTACCAGCTCGATCACATAAACAAAGATAAATGAAGTGCGAACACACCATGAAAAATGAGGATAAGGTGGTTCTTAAGTGAGGGATAATATTAATCCGGATCTCTGCGAGCTCAGGTGAATTTAGAATAGTTTTTCATGTAATCGTTCAACTTTACACGAATGACTATCTTTTTACCTCCATAGGATTTTTCTGGAAACAACGACCGTGATACGGTTGTTTTTCATGAATTAAAACCGCCCATCGATGCCCGCTTCGTTCGTTTTCTCCCAGAGGCTTGGCAAAACCACATATCAATGAGGGTAGAACTGTATGGCTGTCTTGATGGTGGGCAACATTTTGATGTATCGGAGTTATTTGGCCTTTTGTAGATCGAAAATTTTCTAGGGTCCTTTGCAGGACCCTACCCTTTATTCTTGGTTGTTTCATATTTTTAGGGCCTCTGACATTCATACTATTTTATGGGTCGTTTTTAATCTAGTTTTTGTCATCTTTTTGTTTACCTCCAGAATGTCAGGAAGCTCTAGGTATGAAAAATGGTGCAATTCCCGATAGACAAATAAGCGCCTCTTCACATTGGGATAATTATCATGCGGCTTGGCAGGGTAGACTAGATTATAAAGGGACATGGAAAGCAGGGTCGTGGTCATCACGAGGTAATGATATACATCAATGGCTCCAGATTGATCTGTATAGTCCATACATGAAAGTTACAGGAATTGCCACACAAGGTAGAAATGGTCACGATCAATGGGTGACACGGTATACATTGTGGTACAGCAACGATGGTAGAAATTTCCAACCCCACAAGGAAGCTGGAGAACGGACGGAAAAGGTGAATATTACGTTGTACTCTTTGAATACATATCAATCAAGAAAGTTTAAGCATTAGAAAGTGACTGTTTTTTACTGCAAATGCTATTTAGTGTTTGGAGCGTGATATCGCATCGGGATGAACCATAAAAAAGCTGTATTTCATTATTCTGATGTTTTGACCCTATACGCAAGCTAGAACCATGGCCAATCAGGTTTACAGTTAAATTGAAATCATCCAGTTAAGTACTAAGGTGCTACATCCTATGGTTATAAGAATTTTGGTGTCATACAATTTCCAAAAATTGTCTAATTGAAAGGGGAATCTGGATCATGTTACCAACTAGATCCTTCGCTGCAGAGTTTTCCTAAACTTCGACCCAAAGGCAGGAACTGAAATTCACAGTTTACAAAAAGTTGCAGACTGGGTTAACAAAAGAGATTTTAAATGGCAGCTTACCTAGATAGTTTTGGACACCTTCAAATTCGAAAATGTTTCAACCTTGGAAAGTCAATGTTGAAGAGGCGGGCTGTTACATAGTTTTTCAAATACGTTTTAATTGGGGAGATGAACTTTAATGATACCTGGAGCATTTTTGACAATTATATTTTACTGCCTTTTCATTCAGCATTTTGATGGAAACAGAGACCGGGATACAATTGTTTACAATAAAATCAACCCACCAATCAAAGCTCGCTATATCCAAATTCGACCACAGGCCTGGTACCGCCACATTTCTATGAGGACAGAGCTTTATGGTTGTCTGGAAGATGTCAGTGGGGGTAAGGAGTGTATTTACATTTAAACCGACTAGGCGTGTGCAGGATTTTTAAATTGTTGCGTATTGAAATCGCCTCTCAAGTGATCTCTTGTTCTTAGTTGATGTGCTGTATTTATAATTTGCTTAAATCTCCTTCTGTTGCCAAAAAAGTTATTAGAAAATAAAGTAATGTGGAGAAGGTAAACAGCATAAAAAATTCCATTTGGAATTTTTATTTAAAGTGGAGAATCCTACATGTAGATTAGAAGGAAACAAGTAAGGAAGAGATCAAAACTCTTCGCGTATATCTTAACCTTCATTCAAGCCCCTTAGACCATGGTTTTCCTTTCTGTAGTATCCATCAACATATCAGACTGTCAACAAGCTCTTGGCATGGAAAATGGTGCAATCGCTGATGCACAAATCACAGCCTATTCCATCTGGGACGATAACCATGCTGCGTCTCAAGCCAGACTGGACTTTAAAGCAATTGCGAAATCTGGAGCTTGGTCAGCTAAGAGAAACGATGTTCAACAATGGCTTCAGGTGGATCTAGGTAGTCAGTACGCCAAAGTTACGCGTGTAGGAACACAGGGGAGGGATGATTATAGCCAGTGGGTAATCAAATACAAGCTGCAGTATGGTAATGATGAAGCTGAACTTCAGTTTTATAAGGAAAGAGGAACAAATATAGACAAGGTTAAATAATTTAATGTATTGAAATAATTCTCTTTAATTTACAAAACAATCGGGCAGCCTACTTGTTGGTTTGCCTCCTTACATATTCCAATATTCTTTCGTTATTACTTACTTCAAAATTCCGCTTTAGTTCCTTAAGGAAAACCACACAAATAATAGTAATGCAATGTAACTCAAAATTATATGAATAAAGTCAAGGTTTCATTTCGTAAACAGCATAAAATTAAAAGACGACAAAACTTCGAGACAGATATTGGGGAAACAAAAATCGTTCATATCTTTAAATGACCTCCTATCAAGTCGCAGACTCAAAAGTATGTTTAGAGGAACATATTATATCCTTGGGTTATTAACATTTTTCCAATTCTCTCTCCTAGGAGTTTGATGGTAACTCAGATAGAAGCACTATCGTTTTCCATGAACTAGAGCCACCCATCAAAGCACGCTTCGTCCGCTTTCGACCTCAAGTTTGGTTTAACCACGTGTCAATGAGGATAGAGCTTTACGGCTGTCGAGGTAACGGAATGGAGGACAAGGTTCCTGACTATTAAACGAAACAATTCATTCGATATGCATTATGCTGACGATAAATGAAACCCAGTATTGATTATCAACCCGACTTCATCGTGCATCATTTGATTATGGAGAAGAAAGTTATGTGCATTGCTTTCATTCACTATCGAGATACAATCGACTTTGTGCCATTGTGCATGTACAATTTAATCATGTACCGTGATCTACTGAAAATAATAATTTTAACTTTTGCTCAAATATTTCGTTAAACCTTTAGAATGTCAGGAACCTCTCGGTTTGGGAAATAGCTCAATAACAGACGGGCAATTAAGTTCTTCTTCTCAACTGGACGATGCTCATGCTGCAATGCAGGGGAGACTTAACTCTAACGCAACCGGAGGTTCAGGAGGATCTTGGTCAGCTGGTAATAACAATTCGAGTCAATGGCTTCAGATCGACCTTCTTGATCAAAGTAATAATGTGACCCGTGTGGCTACTCAAGGAAGACATGATGCCAGCCAGTGGGTAACGAAGTACAGACTGCAATACAGTGAAGATGGTAAAATCTTCCACTTTTATCGGGAACCAGGAGATACAGCAGGGAAGGTGATTAGATTTGTTTGCTTGTTTTTTTTTTTTTCTTTTCGAAAAAGGATAAAAAAAATTTAAAAAAATGTGTATTTTTTACTTATCTTGCCTTTACACTTGCAAGGGAGAGGTACAATCTTCTTGGCACCACCTTATACACAATTAACCCTGTAGCATTGGGCGGATTTTTTATTCTACTTCCTTTTTCAGGTTTTTGATGGAAACAACGACCAGAATTCAATTGTTTATAATGACCTTCACCCACCCATCACAGCACGTTTTATCCGCTTTCAACCAGTGTCTTGGTATCACCATATATCTATGCGAGTAGAGCTGTATGGCTGTCAAGGTACTTAAATAATAACATTGTAAACCTACTACTTCTACTACTACTATTACTACATTTACTACTACTAGTACTACTACCACTTCTACTACTTTGACTCAACTACTACTTCTACCACCACTATTACTATTACTACTCCTACTACTATAACTACTATTACTACTACTACTACTACTATTACCACTATTATTACTACTACTACTACTACTACTACTATTATTACTACTACTAATACTACTTCTACTTCTATTGCTACAACTGCTACTACTGGTCCTACTTTAACATTTACTATTACTATTAGTTAACTTTTCTCTCTAACTTTTGTTAGATGATCGTCCGTGCGAGACATCAGTGGAGTCGTGCGGATGGAATATTACGCGGGGTTGGAAACGAATGAAATACAGAGATCTTGACAATATAGGTAGTGACGCCGATGATGAAGGTTGGTTGTTTTGGCACATTGTGTCATTCATTATTTTCTTTTTTCTCAAGACCTCCCTCACCTTTTTTTGGTTTTGTTTTTGCTCCGTTTTACCAACTTAACACCTAAAACAAGCTTGATAGCTTCTTACGGAGATTGACGACTGAAGGAGGGTGCATTTTTAATGTTATATTTCTGCTTTAGGGATAATCAACGATGAAAACTACGAGATCCACTTCCCCGACAGTAGCCGTGGCTATGTCTCATTCTCAGACATTCGACAGGCGAAAGGGGGATTCACCATCTGCTTTTGGTTAAAGACGTCAAATGTTGGTTTTTTTATCGAATATAGAACTGAGGCATCGGGAGATCAAAATGAAACGCTAGTATTTGGGCTCTATTGTGGTAACAACACCTTTGATATTCTATTGAGAAACCGTAGAAGGTATCGAAAAGTTTTTATTTGTGTTTTATTTTTTGCTTTGTTTTTGATAATGTGTTATTAAGTCATGACTTGTACGTGGGTTACACAAAAAATATTATTTAATCTAAAGATAAAAATCTGAAATAGCCAGGGCGGAAGCTTTTTCTGGGATCCACATATATGACCCCCACCATTCGGGCGTGTATGGGTTACTGGGCGTTTTTCACGATCACGGCATTCGCGGTTAACTTTCCAGAGTATTTGCAGAGAAATTTCGAACGGTTATGTTACCCTTCGAAATTTCAATACAGGGAAACTTATGATTTTTAAAAAATTTTAATTCAACGATGGTAGAGATATGATTCGTTTTGGAAAAGAAAAAAGATAACTTTTGAGCTCGGTTATGAAGAAGAGATAGATGGAGTTTATCTTGTTATGAGCGTTTCCTTCCATTTTTTGTTCAAAGGTCGTTAAAAGATGAATAACATATTTCTGTATACACTGTTTTCTTTCAAAAAGATATTTCTCCTTCATTTAGAAGTCTTTTGTCCATTAATTTTCATACACAGTCAATATTCAATGGGTATGACAGATGATTCTTGGCACTACGTGTGTGTGCTACTGGATGGCAACATCGGATTACTAGCTGTATTCAAAGATGGTCACAGAAATTTTAAGGAAGCTCGCAGGAGGGCACCCAATTCTGAATATTGGAATGCAGGTAATGACTGCATAATTATTCTCGAAGGTGGAAAACAATTAAAGAACAAAAACCAAAGATAAAACAAAAACAGAAATATTCCAAGTTGATGTGGAAGGCGTTAGATATAAAGCATACTCTGATGCATATTACAAGTTCTTGAGCAGCAACCAAGTGGCAAAAGCTCGGAAGGTGGAGTGCGCTGGACTGTTGATTACATTCCTGTGAGAGAAAAAAATGTTAAATTATATTGAGCTACATTTAAAATAAATTCAAAGCAATTTGTATCTCGGATACTTGCAGGAACCATGACAGTTGGCTTCAGGAAAACGAACAACAGTAATTCAGCTGTTCTTGGCAAACTGAGTGGCCTCAATATATGGAGCTACCCTGTCTCAATCACTGAGATTCTGAGCATGTCATATGGTTGTGGAACTGAAGCAGGAGACTCCAAATCCTGGGAAACAGTCAGGGATAAGATAATTGGAGAAGTTGAGATTAAAGACTCCAGAACATGCAAAGACAGAAAAGGTAAGTGTTCTGTAATGAGCACAAATTATCTGAAAAGTTTAATTTTACCTTGTAATTAATAAGATGCTGTTAATCCTGTTAAATAAGTAAGGTATGTCTATTCGCTATGAAAATGGTATGCGTTCTAACTTGTTTGTTTTCTCGTGTAGGAAGAAGAAAGATTCTAAGAAAAGTAAAGACGGAAGTTTTAAAAGTAGACGCGTGTTGAGTCACATAAACAAACTTTTATTTTGATAATGCTGACAGTACGCCCCAAGCTTCCTTTTTCCTCATTTGGGGACGCATCAAGTATCAACTAGCCGTTTGGCTCGTTGTTTGTTCGAACATCAGTGGCTACTTTAGTCATAGGATCTTTACGAACTAATGAATGTTTATTACGTGCAGTACATCGTGCATAAATGTCGAAATACGGCGGGACAATTTTTAGAGAGTTTGCGTACATCTAACACTAAGAAAATTGAAGAATGTGGTTACCCCTACTACGCGACTTTCGTTTAGAGGTTTTAATTCTTTTGGCATTCGTTCGGCAAGATCTTAGCTCTTTGTCTGTGAACAAACTTATGTTTACTGATGAATGAATATCATAAAGTTCTTTTTGTTGATAGATCTTGATATCTTCTCAGCTGGCAGACTTGTGGCAGAAGGCATTACGGTCCACGTCAATCAAAGCGCTCTTTTTATAAGTCCTCTTTACGATGCATCGCGTGGTGGCCAGAGTCGATGTCTCAGGTTTCGTTACATGCTGCAAGGACCTGGGGAGAAAGCACTGACAGTTTACCGGAAGGCGAAAAAATATCGTGAAATACCTATTTGGATCTCAAAAGGCATCACCCGGGGGAACTGGGTTTATGGCCAGGTTCAACTCAGCTCCATTTCAGACTTTCAGGTAAAGAATTTTGCTTCTTCGCCTTTTCTTAGATTTTCTCAAACGAAGTAGACCTACTTGTTCTTTCCTTTCGTCTATTGAACAAAACTATCAGCTTTTTTATGTTGGTACCGTAAGTTACATTCAAATAAACCGTCCATAAAACTATACGGACATATCGTTCACTTTTGGTAGAAATTTTTCTGAGTTGCCGCGAACGCGAACCTTAATCAATCATACTTATCCCATTCCCGCACCACCAACATTACGAGCGCATTAATAAGGCCCTTCAGGCACCAGAAACTGCGATGAGATTGGTAAATAATTGCGGAAATTGTTTCATTACCGAGACAGGTGCTTATAAAAGCGGAAATGGGGAGGAGAGAAGACTTAATAGCGTTGACAGGGCTGTACATCGACGAGGGAAAAAATTGCAGAGTGACGCCATTGTCGGCGAAAAAAGGTGGAGTATAACAATGTGAAGACATAGAAAGGGGAAGAGTTTTTCTAGGAAAGGGCGTCATTGCCACTAACCTTTAAAACACTTGTACTTTCGAAGCAATTGAAATTGTCATTGCGCAACTCCGGGATGATGCTGCCGCTGTTATTTGCGCTCATGAGGCACTGTACATGTACTTCGTGTCGAATGATAAAGACACCAGTCAGGTTGTAAAGGCAGACACTTCTTAACATTTTAGCTTTCATCTGTTGTTTCCCTTTCAGCTTGCAGCGAGAACTTAATCAACGAAACAGGATATTTCTTCTCTCCTTCATATCCTGGAAATCCTCCAGATGATACTTTTTGCAAATGGCACATCACCGTCCAGAAAAACCACATCATTCGTTTGGAATTCCAAGAGTTTTTACTCACGAACCACCCCACATGCGAGAGATGTTTCCTTCAAATCTTTGATGGACGTGATTTATCTGCGACCGCGATAGGAAAATTTTGCGGCGATATGCATCCTCCAGTTGTCATTTCTTCATCAAGCCATTTCACGATTGTTTTCCGTTGTGTTGAGGGTTTGCGAATGACAAGATTCAAGGCCTTTTATCATTCTATTAGAAGTATGCTATATCTTTATGATTTTAAATTTTGAAGATATATGGACCTGTTTTTTATGTATAAACCTTAGTGAAATTCAATCAAAAGTTCTGGAATTAAAAAGTAAAAATCCAATCGATGACCAAATCAATGCAACTTGAGGTTGAAGTAGGCTTAATTGGTCTTCGGGTCACTTTCCTAAACATGAGGTGGAGATATTTTCGGTGAGACATGAAACTTTGTCAATTAGTTCGTGGTAGAGTATTTGATATAGGGCAGTATTCAATCATTCCTCCAACTAAGGTAAAATGCCAACTGAAATGCGTAGTGGAGTTTGACGATAATTGATTTTTCTCCCACTTCTCTACATTAGAATTTAAGAGTGCTAAATTGAGGAAATTGTTTGTTTGTGAGAGACATCATCACAATTTCCGAGTTTTCGATTCCACTATCGGAAATTAAAGTTTTGAACCGTAATAGGAAGAATAATAACAACGACTGCGACAAAGCCATCAGGGCTAGTCGTAGCTAATGCCTTAACTGAAAATTGGTGGCTACATCTACCTTTTCCATTTTTCAGCTCAATATTGGGAAGGATCGTCTTGTTCACTTCATCGAGGTAATTGAATCTTCATCGATAAACTGACTGCTTGAAATCATTTTTTCCAATTGCTTTCCAAATGATGAAGGGGTTGAAAGATGATGGTAGATAGTAACTGAATGTCGAAAATCGTTTTTAGAGTGCCCATCAAGCTGCAAGTGTAAGGAGTTTGGTGAAGTATACGATAAGAGGATTCTGATTATTGGAGAAAAGTTGCTGGCTATACCGAGTAATCTTCCTCCAAATACTGGAGCAGTGTATGTTTAACCATTTCCCTGCTTATCATCATTATTACTACTCATTATGCTAACAATCACCAAGTCTTTCTGCCTACATACACAGAACAAAATAAAGAGATTTGGCATGATGTCTACGGCAATCGTCAAACGGCAAACAACAATATTGAACTCGATAGCGCCTTTTTCCGGCCTTTGGCTTTCTGAAGTGGAAATATTTTGACGTGAAAAAATAAGATCTATGTTCACAAAAGGTTATTAAACAAAAAACCGATCCTAATGCTTTGTTCATTTTAGGGTTAAAGGAAATTTAAGCAGTAAACGTCATGCGTAAACTCTCTACATTGTTTACGTGCACACATTAAGCTGTTTATTGATAATTTTGGCAAGGGAGATTACTCTGAGGGACTTTTTTTCCTCTTTCAATCATTTTGTTCAGTGAATTGTAGCCTGCTGCTAAGGTTTCCTTGATTATTTACTTAAGTTCAAGTTCAGGTGATTCCGTATGAAGGCCATATTTTTACTGTACAAGATAATGTGTCTCTATTACGATCATATTTACCAGGGTTTTTCGTCAAAATTGGATCTCGCAACTTCGCGAGAAGGAGTTTTCAGACCTTATAACACTCGAGTATATGTGAGTTGAACGCCATATTCTCTGTTTTTATAAATGTAGTGTTAGGTTTTCCTTGAAATGAAAAAACCTTTTAGATGTCAAATAGATGTATGTATGTTTAACCAACCCTCTGATTCTTCACGCTATTTTAAGGTTCACTGAGACAAAAATGATATATTTCATAGTGTACCATATGTCTACGAATTTTATTCTGCAGTATGGAGAGCACAATTAAAGTAGGACTCTCCATGGTTCTGGCTACATTCAATACCTTGAAAGATCTTCGAATACAAGTTGAATAATTCTACTTGAAAAACCATACATTTTAGAGATATCAAATTAACAGGTTACATGTTCTCTTTGAAACAGTGACCTTAGCTTTAATAATCTGCTCCACCTGGATGAAGAATGTTTTCAAAACGTATCTTCTGTTACTACGCTGTGAGTATTGGATGGCGATTATAGTTTAATAAATATGAATTAGTGCATTCCAGAGAATCCTTAACAGTAAATTTGTCAGCGAAGTTGTCAGCTTTCTCATCTCGAATGTCCCCATGGCCGATAGGGACATTCCTCCTCATTGCTTTATTCGAAAGATTATTATCCTGAAGGAATCATGGGATAAATGGATAGCCAGGGTAACGTAGTATGCGTTGATGAGAGGGTTGACGACGACTCCTCTAGATAAGACAACTTTTGAGGACGTAAGAGAAAGCATAGATCAGTGCTCCAGAGGAGATCTTCTCAATGAATCCGTCTCGCATTATCGCTTAGATTTGTTGAAATGAACTGTTAGAATCTTACTGTGAGGCTTTCTTGTGTTCTCGGCAGGAGACTGAATTCTAACTTTCTTCGAATTCTTCCTATTGGAGCATTCAGCGAGCTCCCTAATTTAAAAGTCCTGTGAGTATCTCCAAATATAATCTCATTCTTTCTCATTGCATAACATCATGAAGCGACGATCGACAAGATCTCGATTGAGTGGGCTCAAGAAACTGTCTATTTTATTTCAGTGACTTAGGAAGTAACCTTCTTAGCAGTATCAGAAGTGGAGTGTTTGATGCACAGTCAAATTTGAATGTTTTGTAAGTACTTATTTTCAATAAAATTTGAAAGCTGACAAAGATTGAGAAACTTTTAAAGCATTATTTTGGCTTTGTTTTTAGAGGTTTACGCGCAAACCAACTGATGAATTTGCAGAATGGCGTTTTTGACAACAAAAGCAAGATGACCCATTTGTAAGTAAAAGGTTTTCTTTTGTTCTAAGCCAATCGCCAAAGTCATACCATTGCTATTCAAAACAAACCGAAGGGTTATGATGAGGAGTTTAGTTACACGGTGAAGCCATATGTCTAACCTAATACTTTATTTAACATATTCGAAATGTAATGATGGATTTCTAATTTTTATAAGGTACCTCCAGGAAAACAAACTGACAGCATTGCCAAATGGCTTGTTCAAAGATCTCTCCAAGCTGGAAGTCTTGTGAGTGCTGAAATGAGCAAATTAATGTCTTCTCAAATTACTTAATCTGCTGTAAAGGGAAAATTTGATAACTTCTTGTTCAAACCATGATAGTTTTCTTAATGGAATTTTGATTGTGCTCATTGTTTAAAGTAGACTGAGAAGTGACATTGAAATGCATGTGAAGAGGGTTTTCGCTGAAACAAATTCGCCTATAAATCGTGTTGAGATTTTGTTTCATGTCTCTCACTCGACAGAAATCTAAGCAGAAATGAGATGAGAACAGTGACAAAGGAAACGCTTCAAGGGCTCAGTGCACTGAAATATTTGTAAGTAGTTTGAATTTTCAGCCTTGAGGGAGTCTCCCTATGGGGATTTATCTCCACTGAAGAATTCGTAGAATAAATGAGGTCAGTGGTAAGAGAGAAGTAAATTACAATGCTCGACCAGTCTGAGATTGAACCAAAGGACGTATTAACTACCGAACGCTTTTATTTGAGTTCACCCTTGTTCATCAGTTTAAGTTTGAACAATTCGTTTTCCAAATAGCTTAAGACCATTCTTTGTGCAGTGATTAAGTATTAATTTTATCCATTTCATCAAGCCTGTGTGCAGATATTCAACTGCAAATAAAAAGTTTTGAACAGATCAATCAACTATTCTTTTTGCTTGATAAAAACAGGTACTTGGACAACAATGGATTAGCTAACGTACCTACAGATGCATTCAGCGAGCTGACTAGCCTTAAGTATCTGTGAGTATTTTACAATTGATATCGTAATAGC